CACAGAAAGTGAGAGTGCCATTGCTCTTCCAACCAGAATAGTTATTGTAGTTCTGGCATGTCGTAAGAGGTACACTGGTTCACTGCAATTACCTCGAATGTCGAAAGACTCAGATTGTGTCATCTGGGACACATAAATAGAAAATGATGTGATATGGGCAGGGGTGTGGCTCAGTGTTAGAGTGTTTTCTTGGGTTTGATCCTCAATACCTACCCACGAAGAAAACAAAACAGCCTGATAGCTATCTTTACATATTTGGGGGTTGTTGTATGGAACTTTTAGATTTTTTTTCTGCCTGTATGTTTTATAAAGAGTGCAAATCAAAGATTATTTTTTACTTCAGTATGAAAATAACTTTCTTCTAAAATAGACTTTCAGAATACCATAATTGAATTTATATATTCAGTAATTTTGCCACATCAGTCAGTCAAACATGGTGTCCTGCACCTACAATCCCCACATCAGTCAGTCAAGGCAGGAGAATCTTGAGTTCAAGACCAGCTTAGGTTACAAAGCAAGACCCTGTCTATGAAAAAGAAAAAGACAGAAAGAAGAAAGAAATTGAGGTCTAGATCGGTGATGTATAGAGTGCTACCAAAAGTTACTCCATAATAATGTGACCATGGAAAACCCACTTTGAACTGTGGCCGTGGCTCAGTGGTTGAGCATTTACTGGTATGTGCATGCTGTGAGTTTCATCCCTAGCACCTCAAAAAATGGGAAAAATATTGTGCAGTATCAAAATGCTAATATGCCAGCAAGTTGTCTCATCTCGTAAAGGTGCCTGCCACCAAGCTTGTTAACCTGAGTTTGATCCTCACAACCCACATGGTAGAAGGAGAGGACTGACTCCTAGATGTTGTTTTCTGTTGTTTTCTGGCATGTATGCACATGCACACACACAAACAAAATAAATTAAAAGGTAATTAAAAATGCAAAGTAGACTCTTAGAAGCTGCCTGTTCGTATGTAGTTTCCAGGTTTGAACTCTGTAGCTTGGTACATGAGTGAAGGTCAGATCCATATAGAGCATCCCTCTTTCCTTCAGCAACTGTGGCCCAGGGCTTTAAGCAGAGTAGGACCTTAAATATTTATCGAACATATGAATGTACGTACTTTGCAGAAATCAAAACCTGTTTTTGCAATGCCCTGTGAAGGTAAGCATTTGTACCAATTCAGATTTATTTTTAACTTTATTCAAATATACAATCATTGAGCCAAAAATTTATTTTACTTCAAATTATATATTAATTATCACAATTTCTTATTTACTTTCTCATCTGTCTGGAGGAGCTATATATACCCAGTGCATGCATATGCATCCTGACTTCACTGTGCTTCATCACACTTTCCAGAGCACACCATCGCCATGTCCATCCTTTTCCCTGTTCTTATCCACCTTCTCTTTAAGACTGTCCATGTGTTCGGCCCCAGTGACTGCAACAGGGCTGACTGTTCATTTCACTCCTGCCATCACTGTTATCCACCGATCACCAGGGCTCATCAGACGGCAGGCCAGCCTGCACCAGTCATTAAGATGACCCAAATTAACAGCCCGGCCATGTCACAGTACATTCATTCCACATATACAGACATGGCCCAAGTGTGAGGCAGAAACCCGGATGTGCTTATTTGTGTTTGCTTTGTAGCAAGCATTGTTGACTGTCATGATCTGCTTTAGTGCTTTGAATCTGCAGATGAAAATCATCGGCAGATTATTCCAAAAGACAAAGTGTTTTCCTACCAATATTTCCCTTCACTTCCCATTTTCCTCTAGTTAGATTGTGAAACCTCTGAGCTCAACACATGCCCCAGCTCCTTACTTAGGAGGGACCCTTAATCATAAAAGTTTTATCTTGTAAAAAGAAACCTGCTTTCCCTAGCCAGGTAAACAAGATAGTACAAGCTACGAATAGAGTTCATCATCAAAATTTTGTGATCCAATCATCTTGCTAGTCAGTAAAACTCAGTTCTTGACAAACGCAGGCAGCCTTATCTTAACCACAGCCACGGTTTTTTGGCACCTTACAATGCCTTGTGTAAATTTCAGCCCCAAAATATTTGCATTCTTGATAGGCATTTTCTACAATACAGTCTAATAATTAGAGGGTCCCATTACCTGCTAAATGTTGGCATAAATGAACAATCTATTATGCACAATAAGTTTTATAAAACATTTACAGATAGAGATCATGTTTAATTAAAATTAACTTCCATATGAAAGCCAAGTGCACTAATGATTCACAGTGACCTTTTATTACCTACAGTCCCTTGTTTTGGCTTGATGATTGACAGCTTGCTGTTTGGCTACCATGTTGAATTTCAGCTGACAAGACTTTTCATTTTAACTCAATTTGCCCGCCTATCACAAGCTGGTGGCAGGCCAGACCCAAGTCACCCAGCTTTGCCTCAGCAGCTTGCTCTAGTTCTCATTAGTACGCATTTATTCAGTGGAAATTGGAAGACAAATGCTTGAAGGCATGTGAACTAAGTATAGCAAATTAGGTTTAAAGACTGAATATTTATAAGTATATGGAAAGTTGTTTTTTTTAATTCTAGAGCGAATTGAGAACTGAGTGCTAGCTTTGGTATAAAAGAAATGGAGATGGAAGGGGGAAGATTCTAAGAATAACAATACTATAAGCTTTTTCTTTCCATTTTGAAAATATGTAAAATATCTCTGACAACACCTTATCAAATAAAAACCTGGCTTCTCTTTCATGGAATGCTTGCACAATGAAGTTTAGCACCCCGTGTGTGAGAAGGGAGGAAAGCGAGGGTCGTGTTCATTTGTTGCTTGGTTATCCCTTGGTATGTTTTAAATTGCCTTGTTTGTTCGGCACTAGCACAGAAGCAGATGTTGCTGTACCATGCAGGATGATTTACTGTACCTCCTGGTGTAGCATGGAAGTCCTCCCAGGGCCCAGCTGGTCTGTCAGTGGCCCTGGCTGGTGTCTGCTCAACTATGACAACTGCAAGGAGACGCCGCCGTGTTTTCATTGAGCCATTGTCATTCTTCTCAACATAAAGCTCTGCCCACATTCACTCTGGGGCTGGTGGAAGTGCTGCTGGCTTTTGTGTCTCTGTGTTGTACTGCAGACCCCATAAGCTTCATGCTCCATTGTTGATAATAACGCAACTCATTACTTTTGTCGTCTAATGATTATCGGCATTATCACTCAGAGCTAGAGCCAACCTTGTCTTGCACACATAACTGGTACTGGAAGGTAAAACAGATTTGTCACTTATGATCTGACTGCTGAGCCACTCTTTGAGCTCCATTATTGTGATTAACTTCTGCATAGGATATGCTTGCCCAATTGTCATTTGTGATACTGCAGTGGGCACAAGCTGCCATGCTTCCCAAGAGCACATCAGCCAATCGGATGTGACTGTGTTATTCGGACTGTTAAATGCCTGCCCTGTCGCAGCAGCCATCCCACTATTATTTTGCTTCTGTATTTCTTCTGCCCACACCCCTAATGGACTTGTTGGGTGAATGGCAGTACGGCATATGTCAGCTACCATTTCATACCACACACTAAAATGATGCTGTGCTGTTGTTAGGCCAACAGGGCCAGCAGCAGGATGTAGGAAGCCGGCTCTTGCTTTTCACCATAGAAATGTTGGTTGTTGGTGTCCTGCCAGCTGAAATCTGTCGTGTCAGGTGCCTTGTGGCTATCTGCAGTAGAGTCCATGTTCCAAAACCAAAGTTCTTTTCTGGACTCATCACCAGCAAACCGATTTGACTCTGCCTGATTATAATAATGAAGGCAGTCCAAGAGAATATGCACAGCCTCACTGTACGTCACATTGAATCACCACACTGCCCACATGGGGCTGACCGCAGCCTCATTTCTTTAGACAAATGCCTGCTCAAGGAAAAATCTCCTGGGAGAAGGCACCCAAAGCTACTTCATGTCCCCGTGCAAGCTGTACATAGATTTAAATTTTACTAGAATAATATGCATTCTTTTATTTTGCCCTTTCCTAAGGAGCCTGCCTTTAATAATCTAATAACTGGGGACTCAGTGTGCCAGAGCTTTGCTGAGCATGAAGAAACTAAGCTCTGTGTGTGTATGTGTGTGTGGTTTCTAAATTGCAAGTTATAAACACAATCATTTGTTATCATGTGAAAGGAGAAAAACTCCGTTTGGAGCTCTTTTCACATTGCTGATTAGAACGAATCAAGCTTTATATTCTAGGACCCATTCACGCTGGTGGAAACATAGTCAGTTTTGATTATGAAGGCAAAGATGCAGACCTAGACAGGAGCTACACGCTGATATGCATGCTATCAGAATGATTTATGCAAATTATGCATATTATTCCCAAAGGAATTCCTCCTCAAACTGCCAGAATAAATTGCCGGAAATTAGCCATAAAATCTGTCGTGCTAGGAGCAAAAGGTGAAGGCCACTGGGATAGCAAGGACATTCGGCTTCTGGAATCTTCCAGGATATGATGGTGGCCATTATTCCTCCTGGATGCTTAGAAAAATAGATTTCCTTCTGAATCCTACAAAAACATTTCCCTTTGAAAATTATTCAGCAAATGCTGACTCATTTTATTTACAGCTAGCATAAAAGAATTTAAGTCTTAAGCTGTCTCAGAAAGTACTACTATAATTACTTTATTAACTAAGTGCTTGTTTAGTAGTTAAAACCCGACTTTAAAGGCATCACTTGTCTAAAGATTGGTGAAATAACCCACCAGCCATGTGCTGTTAGAGGAATGCAGTTTTATTTTACAATATTTGTGCCCCAAACACAGCATACCTGTCTTCTACCTGTGAGTCCCCAAAACCATGTTGGGTCAAAGGCACTTGGCTCTTCATCCTCCATATTCATGGTCACATTGACCTTCTCTTGGTGCTTGATGGATGCAAGGAAGAAAAGCTTGTTCTACCACATGAGGTCATTGGGAAAGAGCCCCAGTGGCCAACTGAGAGGGTTTTGAAGAGCACTCATGCTACAATGAGCTGTTGTTTATTTTCTACAGAAAGCACCATCCTGGAGGCTCTGCGATTGTCATCGTTTTCAAGTGTCTTTCGTTTTGTTGAAGAGGATATGTCTCTGGATTTGGAGATTGACAAATACTGCCTGCGGAAGGGAGACTTTGTAGCCATCTTTCCTCCAGTGGTACATTGTGACCCTGAAGTCTTTGAAGCTCCAGAGGTAAATAGCCCCTTGCCAGGTCGTGCTGCTTCATGGTGCAAGCTCATTCCTGTTCATCCTCTCTCTTTCTCTTACAGCTTTTTAGGCAGCTTGATGACTTCTGTTTTTCTCTCCAAAAGGAAAGCTTTTGTCTTTACTGAATTATTTCCTAAGAATCTGTCTATGAAAGATTGTGTGGCCTATGTATAGAAATACAGATAAGACTAAATGCTACTTAATTCAAATGAAATGAACATTTTAGCTTGGTCACGCTACCTTTAGGCATTAAATTAGGTTCTCCTTAACAAAGAATTGCTGTAAACCATGGAAGGCTAGCTATAGATAGATGGCATAGAAATTAAATAATGATATCTATTTTACTAAGCATTTCCAAAGTGGAGCTAACTCTCCCAGAGTCAAATACCATCATCAGTATAGTTAGACCCAAATAGTAGTTAAGCCCTTTTAGCTAAAGGTATGTGTCTCTGATTGGTTAATTAGCGTGGCACTATGAACTTGAGATGGTAAAGCTGCCACTCATAGGTGAAGCTTTCAGGGTAATTGTGTCATCTCCTTGTATTTTTTTTTCTGACGCTGCAGTTAATGAATATCAAAGACTGGAAATTAATCCACCCTGGTTCATCCCTTAATACCACTTCAGAGAGTCACCCCCTGCATGCAAATTGAGTGCAGTTATATTCTGCTTGTGCCTCACATGAACGTTGCTGCCAATGTTGCATTTACCATGACTTTTTTTTTAATCTTTTAGGAAAAAAAAGGAAACTTCTGTACTTTACTTCATAGCTTCGCCACGTTTACAACTATTTTTTAAGATAGATGTTTTGCAGTCAACCTGAATTACAGTAACATTACTTAATTTGGGGAATTAAAAAGAAGATAGACCTCAAAAACAAGTTTAAATCAGTAACGTGTCTTACTATAGGGTAATATACATATGGTTTTTCTGGGTTTCAGAAGGAGAGGCATTTTATAAATGATGCTAGAGAATAGGATGAACACTGTCTGTGGGTAAAGGAGCTTTCTATAGACAATATAGCTTTATCTCCACATTTATGGATATTAAAGAATTCCGGCCATTAGTACATAGCCAACAAATAAAACAAGTGAAGTTAATATCTGAAAATTTGTAAATGTTAAAAATGTTACACTTCTCTCTACAGTTTTTCACTTAACTTCTGCTTACTATTTCCTTTGTGATTATTCCAAATAATTGTTATGTATTATCATGTCATGATAATTAAATTAGCATCATAGTTGTCATCAAATAAGAAATGTTCATCAGATTTTCACTTTAAGGAATGTTTCTTTTCCCATTTCTGACCTTCTTTACACCATGATTAAAAAAAAAAAAAAAGATCTCATTGAGAACTTTAAGAAATTAAATACTATGGGGCTTGAGAGATGGCTCAGTGGTTAAGAGCACTGACTGCTCTTGCAGAAGACCAGGGATCAATTTCCAGCACCCACATGGTGGCTAACAACCATCTGTAACTCTGGTTTCAGGGTTTCTGCTGCCATCTTCTGACTTCTGCATGCATTACATGACATGGGTGCACTCACATACATGCAAGCAATACACTCATACACATAAAAAATAGAAATAAATAAAATATAAAATGAAAACAAAAATTAAAAATGACAAATGTTGATCCAGATGTTTTGGTGCACACCTGCAACCCCAGCATTCCGGAGGTTGATATATATTATTAGCAAGTTCAAACTCAGCCAGAGCAGCATGCCAATACTGGAAGGGACTGAAAAAGAAAGGAAAAGAGAACAAAGACAGGGAGATGCGGAGAAGGAGAGACGAGATTGAGTTTTAATTTTGTGTTTTTTCTGTGGAATGACACTACTCAAACTTCACCTAATAAATAACCAATCTTACCAGTAATCAGAAAGTTTGCCTTATACTAAATTAGTAGCAGAATAAAATTGAAATATTTTGAATATTGATTTAAAATCATTAGGGCAGCTCTAACCTGAGTTGATGGACACTATTATTTACTACATTTTGCATTAGTCAATTATATCTGACTTGTGTTAGAGTTAACTGAGTTTTGTCATGGTATTATTTTCTTGAAATTAGTTGTAGAATGCTACTCTTAGCACAGACCATTAAAAAATATGATCTAGAATCACTTTATATGATCTGGCTAGCTATTGTCATTCATTCTATAAGCACTTACTAAGCACTTGCCACTGTAAGGTGGTCTTTGGTTCTTAACTACTTCAGATGGCAATAAATAAATGCAATAAAGGTTCATATGGCTGTTGCCCATGCCAAAACACCAGGGACTGGCAGTAAGGATAAGTCTAGAATATTGTATCCTTGTCCATTCGTCACCAAGATCACTGGCCCTTGAGTATATCAGAGAGTTGTACTCCACACTACGGGTTTTTTTTATACCTTCCAGACTTTGATTGGAAAGACTAGGATGTAGTTGTAGAAAACAGGCAATAGTTGTTAGGTCAAAAATATTAGAATGACTAGCTCTAAATTAGATTCAATAGCTCTTTGAAAACTTAGAGACTCTGGAGCCTCAGCAGAACATGGGTTCTCCCAGCACAGTAAGGAATGCCTGAGCTCCCAAGACACTGGAATATCACATTTCAAAACAAGCCATGCCTCTCCCTCACATTTCAGGGCCTTTTGTATCTGCATCTCTGTTCCAGGAAGTGCCTGTCCTTACTGGTCTACCTAGCAAATTCCAGATTACTCCACATGAATAGTCTTCTTCATCTCCTCTTTTAAAATATACAGTTCCAACCCACAATTTTGAGAATTTGCTATCCTCTGTCTGCTACCTGTTCAATTTTTTATGCTGCATGCCACCATGGTATTACCACCTTCAAATTTCAAGGATTTTGCAGCTACTTGATCTAGTGCCCCACACACACACTATACACAAGATACTATCTATCTAAAGTGAATAAGACAATTCAGGATGGATAAATGCACTGAAAATAAAACTGTACATCAGGTAAAATTTAAAATCAGGACAGAAGTCCACACTGAAATATGCACTGACTATAAATAGATCAAGTTAACAATGGCTCAGGTGTAAGCATAGCATGCTATTAAGAATGGTAAGAACAGTGAGAAAAGGACACCTGAGAAGGTATCTAAATGGAACCTCTGGAAAGTTCTGAACCCCCTGCCTTTGCAAATATTTAGAGCTAATTTGGGCAAGTAATTTTTTTTTTTTTGTGGGGGAGTGTCTTTTTGAGACAGGGTCTCCCTGTAGCCCCAGCTGTCCTGGAACTCACTATGTAGATCAGGCTGGCCTTGAGCTCACAGAGATCTGCTTGCCTCTGCCTCCCGAGTGCTGGAATTAAAGGCCTGTGATACCTAATTTGGCCTAGTTTCTGTGTTAAGAATTATTTTCTTCCTCAATATTGTTTGCTTGTCTTATTGTGATAGCACACAATTGAGTGCCTCTTGCCTATGTAGGAGAACACACAGGTAGGTAAGACATACACCATATACCGTAATGTTGCAAAGGGAACACCCCTTCTTGACTCTTTTTCTCTTTGGAGATAGACTTGCTATCCACAAAAGTTCAGAAAATCTACTACTTACCTAACAATAAGTAGCTTTTAAATTTTTTCTGAGGTCTTTCCTAAATCCATGTCTGTTATTATATCAACTGGTATCAAGTAATCAAAAGTAAACAGTGATTTCTTTTCTGCCAAAATACCCAGAACTAGAGCTGTAGAGCAGATTTATCCTGTGCTCAGGGGTAGAGAGGCCTGGTGACACTATTAGGCTATAGGGAATGTACCATACTTTAATATCATGTATTTATTAATTCAACAAACATATATGGAAAATCTATGAGAATAGTATTGGGTTGGGGCTTTGAAAATTCAGAGATGGACTGAGACACCATGCTGACTCCAAGTCCTGAAAGACTTCCTCACTTGCTATCTTCTGTGTGTTAGTTCTACCTTCATGTTGGTGTTAGATTAGCTGTAACAATTGCAGAAATCATCCAGACACATGATGAGGTCTAGGGGAAGAAGAACATGAACCTTTCTTTGTTTTTCTTTCTTTTCAAGAAGACTTCTCCTTGAAGTACACACAGATTTTACCCCTATAGCACCAGCCAGACTGGTTCATATTCCCAAGCTCAAGTCAGTCAGAGGCCAAGAGAATGCAACTACCAGGAGTATAACCTAGACTACCCTCCAAAAACATCTGGCAAAAGAGCAATTAGAGGAACAGTGGGAAAGTTCCATGCCATTCACATCCTCTCCCGATTCTTCTGTTCTCAAGACACTTGATTCCCCCTCTATTAAGTATGAAGTCAGCTCACAGGGTTCAGTGCAGAGGATTTAAGTCAGCATGAAAAACACTGAATTTAGGTGCAACCAAAGGAATAGGTACAATTTGAGCCTGCTGACCCTGTCTGGTGTTACTATAATCCCAAATAGGTCATGTCAGATTATAATATACCTTCCCTTTGGGAGCTAAAACTTGAAGTAACTCTCTAACAGAGGCCATAGGCCCTTCCTGACATTCATTTGTTGTTGATGCATAGGCAGTGGAACAAACTAAAAATAAATTGTAACTCAAAAATACATTCATGCCCCCGTAATGTTGATCATAGAGAAAAAGCTACTGGTTGTTTCCTTTGTAGTTTTACCAAATAAACCACAGATAGAAATTTCTAAGATATATATTATGAGGAAACTAAATAAAGACCGGCAGAAGTCTAGAGTAACATTAATGTCTGACTAGAAGTTGAAGAAGGCAGTCAATTGATTTTTCAAAGAGAAGAACCTGAAGAGTGTGGTAGTTGGGGGCTTATTTATGTTATCCGACACTATGAAGTCATAACACATGTTAACTTTTCTTTTTCTGCATTTTCTGGCACAAACACTAGAACTATAGCAGAGTGAAACACTTCTAGGATTTTGTTAAATAACAAAATTTGCTTAAGCTGATTTAGCCTCAGCAGGGAGCTGCAGGGAAGAGTGCTAGGCTCCTTAAATTTACCAGCAGGAAGGAGAAGGCATCAGCACTAAGCTCTGGTAGGCAGAACTGGAAGAAGTTTACCAGGAGAGGGTTCCCTATAATACCTCCACCTCCACAAACAGCATATGTCCACAGAGAGTATCTGCGACCCTTACTACAGAGACAAGGAGATATTTTTAATCCAGTCCTGGTTAGATCTCTTTGGATATACATCCCAGAACTATAGTAAAATATACTTATATTCTAAAGTGTTCAAAGTATAACCTGTCAGGAAATAAAATAACTATAAAATACTAAATAATTTTGCTGTTATCATTGTAGTAACAAGCAGGTTGGTGGGCCATGTGGCAGGGTGGTATAGCGACTGCCCAAAGATTTCCAAACTCAAATACTTCTCAAATTAGGTATTCTGGGTAAAGTAAACTTAGTACTCTTAAAGGCAGTGATCCTCTGACCTTAGCAAAACTGCCATTATGATAATTAGAACAGGGGCCTGGAAAGATGGCTCTGCTGTTAATTTCACTGGCTGCTCTTGCAGAGGACTTAGGGTTGGGCCCCACCCAGCACCTGCATTGCAGTTAATAACTGTCCATAGGTCCAGTTTCAGAGAAACAAACACCCTCTTCTGCCCTCTCTAGGCATAGCATGACATGTGTGCACTTACATACAGGCAGGCAAAACACCCAATCACATAAAATACAAATAAATAAGTAAATAAGAATTTTAAAAGGATAATTGGAATATTTGTGATGGAATCATAATCCAGTCACACTATAGGACTCACTGTACCCTCAGTTGTGTTGGATCTGACCTACTTCTTTGAGTTTGACTTGATGTAGTTTATATCGGAGTTGTGTTCTGAACAGGTTTAATGCTAATGAGCTCCAACTACAGGAAATACTTGATCGTTTTCATGTAAACCATGAGCATTAATTTAATCAATGCTTTAATTCACCATGGGAAGAAATAAGGTCACTCCGTACTCACTGAGCGTTATACCATCACCCTTTGGTAGCACAGCAGAATTAAGATTGCAGGTCAACTCCCCTAATAAACCAGTAACTTAATTTTATGTAGTAAGTCATGGGCTTTGCTATGAAAATACACTAGAGGTGCCTGAGTCTTTAGAATTAACCCAGAGTACATGATAATAGAAATGACATATGTGAAATTTAAAAAGCAAATTTTGTTTTGTGACTTAGGTTCTTTCCAGTGCTTTGTCTGAACCTCATTCTTTCCACACATTATTTAGTGAATGCCAGATTCACCATGCATCGCTATACTCAGGAGCAAATTGTGGCTGCCAAGACTTACTATTTAATGGCAGCAACAGCAGCACTATGGAGCCTCCTTCTACCCACAATTGGCATCACAAGGATCCATTTGCAAGATCCATCTTAGAGAACAGAAACAGACATGTAGTCTATGTACTTAAAAAGCTCAGTGTGGCACTATGGTTTGAGTATTGGTATGTCCCTTCAAAATTCATGCTGAAATCTGAGTGACATGTTGGCAGTGTTGGGAGGTAGAGACTTTAACTGATGAATAGGTTTCTAAGGGGTAAGGTCTTCACCATATTACTGATCACTCTCTTAGAACTAGACTGGTTACGATAGAGTGGATTGTTTTAACAGGAGACAGCCTCTCTGATTTTGCCTCTTTCAAATGAAACAACTTGCCCTTCAGTTTTCCAGAATGAGGTGAGAGCATGGCAAGATCCCATTGACATCACACTCTTGGACTGTTCAGTCTTCAGAATCATGAGCCAAAATAAGCCTCTTTTCTTTGTCAATTACTCAGTCTCCAGTAGTCACTGATAGCACAGAAGATGCAGTAAGACGAGACAAATGTGAACAGGGAAGAGTGTTGGGATATGTGGAAGGAGTTTCCTTTGTTAACCTTTGAATTTTTCCAAAGTTTAGGCATGACTTGCATGAAATCAAGTTTTAGTTCCTTGTGTTTGCAGAGGGAGAGGATCCTCCCACCACAAGACAGGCAGGGAGAGCCGGCAACCTAGACCTAACTCAAATTATTTTATGTAAATTTTAATGCTGTCTACTATTCTTTATAGGAATTTAGGTTTGATCGTTTCCTAGAAGATGGTAAGAAGAAAAAAAACTTTTTCAAACGGGGAAAAAAGCTGCAGTACTTCATGATACCATTTGGACTCGGAGCCAGCAAATGTCCAGGCCGATACTTCGCAATTGCTGAAATTAAAATGTTGTTGATTATGTTTTTAACTTATTTCGATTTAGAAGTAATTGACAAGAAGCCTATAGGACTAAACTACAGCCGCTTGTTTTTTGGTATTCAGCATCCCGATTCTGATATTTCATTTAGGTATAAAGCAAAATCTTAGAGGAGCTAGAAGGGAGGAAAAGGAGTCATCAAAGTCAACCTCAAAGTGCTAAGCTCTTCAATTTATTTTTATTTCCTGCAAATGCAATTGCCATGCTCATTTGTTTGAAAAGAGCTAATTTGTATTTGATCAGTCCAGTTTGTGCTTGGTCACAAAATCTATCATAAAATAAAAAAGGGTGGTGGCTTAAAAATGGGCACAGAGATCAGCCTCATGATAAGTTCAAAATAGGATTTTTTGAGTTTTTATTTGTTGTGATTTTCATCAGTTATAGTGGATGTGCCTTCATAGTAATAAATTTTTCCCGGGGTTATTTTTTAAGTTACTCAGATCACCAAATATGTAAAAGTACATTTTATGTACTGCTGTAAAATTGTGCCAGTAATGGACAGTCTAACAAATTCCAAATTCTCAGAGAAGAAAGAAATTAAATTTCCACTCGATGAAAATGTTCCCTTCAAGTACAATAATATTACCAGAGTACGTTTGCGTTAAATGAGTTTTGAAATAGATTGAATGTTCCAACTTCACTTCAATATTTAATCATCCATAAATGCTCTTTATTGCTTTGTATACTATGCTCAATAGCACAAAATTTCTTGTTACATAAGACCTCTCATGTTCAACTTGGATACTGTTAAGATTTAATATGTAAGAAAACACAAAACCTATTGTATATTCAGCAAACCTAGACATTAGTATTAGGTTTATTACGGAAAGGAATGTTGAAGTCATTACAGCTCTGATGGTAGCATTGGCTTTAGTATAAACTGTGTTATTCTGATATTGCAATGAATCCTGTCCTAAATGTTTCCATTTATATAAACCAGAAAACTACATAAGAGTATTTGTTCCCAACATCTCACCTTTTGGACCTCGAGTTTAGTTATATTATTTTGAATTATAATGTTTTGTAATACAAAATAATTTCATACGACACAATGCTGGGTCATTGATTCAAAAGGATTTCTACTATCAGATTTTCAAGTGATTGACATTTAACATAGATGATGATGCAAAATATGAACTGACAAGGCAGGTAATTAAACTCAATTAATTCATAATGCATTAATTAGAAATTCTAATGCTCTGGAAATTTGCTATTGTTATTATAAAAGAAATTGATTTTAAATATCATTATAAAATACTTATTAGAATAGGTAAATGAAATGTTCTAGCATTTCTTTTCCGCTTCCTAAAGTGCATGTTGCCTGAACACTTCTCGTGTGAAGATCTACTTGTGTGAACTCTGTTTTTTCTTTTTTAATATTTTACTGTTTTTATTTTTGTGTGTATGAGTGTATTTCCTGCATTTATGTAAGTGCACCTATGTTGTGCAGTGCCCACGGAGGTCAGAAGAGAGTGTGGGATGCCCTGGAATTAGAGTTACAGACAGTTGTTAGCTGCCATATGGATGCTGGTAATCAAACCTGGGTCCTCTGCAAGAGCAGCCAGTGCTCTTAACTGCTGAGCCATCTCTCCAGTCCTGAACTCTATTTTTTTCCTTGACTGAGGAGGTCTTTACACTCAAACTCATTCTTTTTAACTGCAAAATGATTGTTTATAATTATATAAATTTAAGAGGAACAAAGTGAGGTTATGACTTTTGAATATGATATGGAATAATTAAGCCAAACCAAATAACACATTCATCAACTCAAATACTTAACATTTATTGTAGGAGTATTTGACACAGATTCTCTTAGTGATCTTTAAGCATACAGTGCCTTGTTAACTATATTCATAATGCTATTTAATAGAACTCCTTCCCCTGATCCAATAAAAAAAAAAACAGTATTCCTTTTGGCTGAGCTTTTGTATTTTTTAACCAGTACCCCCACCCTTCTTCCAGCCTGTGTTGTAACCACCATTTCACTCTCTACTTCCATGAGTTTATTTTGAATTCTCTGTAAGTTAGAGTATATGGTGTGAGTCTATTTGTGCTTGGTTTTATTTCACTTAGAGTTATGTTCTCCAGGTCCATCTATAATGCCACAAATGACAGAAAGTATTTTTTAAGGCTGAGCAGTATCCCATCCTATATGTATTCCACATTTTTTTTTATCCAAATGCTGTCTCTAAGCACCTACCCACACAAATCCATGTTGTATCCCACACTATGTCCTGCCATTCACACTATCTCCTGTCCATTCATTTTGAATTAAGACATATGGTTGCCTTAATGTCTGAACTGAGGAACTCCATATTGTCATATTCAGCTTGTAGTGTATGCTCTTCCAGAGGACCCCAGCTTGGCTCCCAGTACCCACCTTGGGCAGCTCACAACTATTTGCAACTCCAGTTTCAGAGAATCAAAGCATTCTTCTGGCCCCCATGAGTACCCACTCACATGTGACAAGCACATACATATCAATAAAATAAATCTTTTTAAAAATTAAAATAACAGGACTGGAGAGCAGGCTTGGCAGTTAAGGGCACTGACTGTTTTTGCAGAAGACCTGTGTTCAAATCCCAGCACTCACATGGTGACTAACAACTGTCTGTAACTCCAGTTCCAGGGGATGTGATGCCCTCTTCTGTCCTCTGAGGGCACTGCACGACATGGGTGCATAACACTCATAGACATAAAAATAAAAATAAATAAGTTTTAAAATTACAGTAACTATTTTTACATATTTGTTACATAGAAACTTTGTTATAGTCATTAGTTCATCATCTGTTTATTCAACCAAGTATTGCTGAGCATTTCCTCTAATCTAGATATGATAATTTGCATTGAATTACCCTTCCCATCCATGCATATTCAGTTTATTAGGGAAAACAACATAGAGACAATTAAGTCATTGCCAATAGAGTTGTAAGTAATAAGTTCTCTTGTGAAAATTATTTTAATATTCCAATTTAAGCATATTTTCTAAAAGAGTCTTTCTTCCATCTGTCATAATAAAGTACTGTCCTATAAAAAAAGTGATTGTGTATATTTGCACAAAGTAAAAACATATCAAAGATATTGTGGAGTGTGGTCCAATGGGTAAAGGCAATTGTCTCCACTGATGATCTGAGTTTGATCCAGGGACCCTACTTGGCGGAAGGGGAGAATCGAATCCCACAAGCTGTCTTCTTACTTCCACACGTGAGCTGTGGGATTCATGTACCCACACATTTACACACACACACACACACACACACAGAGGCATGCACACAAATAATTATATAAATAAATAAACATCAATTTTAATATATTGTGATAATATGATTTTAAAAATAACCAAAACCTTAAAGTCACTGAGTCTGAAGAATTTTTGTGACTATTTCATATTTTCTAAAATCTCATCTTTTCATTTTTACAGCTTCACCTAAGTTTTTTGTTTGTTTGTTTGTTTGATTTTTGTTTGTTTTTTTAAGGCAAGATCTTACTCTGTAGCTCTGGCTAGCCTGGAACTCACTATGTAGACTAGGCTCACCTTGGACTCACAGAGATATGCCTGCCTCTGCTTCCCAAGTGCTGAGATTACAGGTATATGCCTGGCTTCACCTAAGTCTGAGTGAAGAAAATATTACATTGTCTTACATCAATGACAATTATAATGACATATTTTATTGTTTAGCACAGGCCAAAAGCCCTGTGGAAATCTCTAAAACTCATTTTTTCTAAGTAAGGCCTGCTTGAGGAGCAGCTTGTACAGGACTTCTGTCCGCCTTCTTCTGGCTTTCCTGAGGCGTGTTGCTCTACCAGCTCCATTATATCATAACGTCTCAAATCATTTGTCCAAATCCAAGAAATATCCACAATTCAAGTAACCACAGTCATTTGTGTGTATTTTATCATAGAGAAGTGATTTGGACAATGCTTCTTTTAAAACAGCTTCTGATTTAACAGCAAAATCTTAAGACTTTGAAGACCAAGTCACAAAATGTATTCAGGTTTTGATCATAGTATAGAAAAATGTCAATGACTGTATAAAGCACTGGTTCCTGTCTTTAAAATTACACTTTTAGAGCTGGGTTTGGTCGTGCCCACTTATAATCCCAGCACTTCGGGGGCAGAGGCAGACAGATCTCTGTGAGGTCTAGGTCAGCCTAGACTACATACTGAGTTATAAATTATACTAGCTGTGACTACAGGGAGCCCCTGTCTCAAATAAAAAAAATAAATAAATAAAAAATTACACTTTTAGCCCATTAGATTTACTAGTGTTGAAAACTGTTGTTATTATACACCTCATTGTTAGGTATTCATATCCACATACTCAATTAAGAAAAAGTTAGCATGCCAAAATTACATTCCCTGTAGCATTATTTTAAATTATAATGAGCAATTTCATAAAACTGTAGCATTTATCAGAAGTAATTATTTACACATCTTAGTGTATTAATCCAAGTCAGTGATCAATGAGTTTTGAACTTTTTAGCACAAATGTATTTTGCTTACATTAATTTCTGGAGTAAATCTAATTCATGAAAAACTCAACCACACAATTCGTCAACAGTTACATTTCATAATGCATTTAGACAAAACGTCTGAATTAAAAACTTTTGTTATATTCATTTATTTCTTGTTTTTAAAATGATATGTATGGGCTCTATAAAGAAGCAAATTATCTTTTAAAAGCATTAAATTCAAATGTTTTGAAAATGTAATACTAAACATTTTTTATTTAGATTAAAATTAATAAATCAACTTTTAAAGCACAGATGAACATTTATGCATCATTTTTATATGACAAATTCATTGGGTGACAGAAGATTTGATTACAAAATACAGCATATTCGGAAAATGATTCTGCTTTATGACTAACACTCACCTTACCCCTCACCTTCCTAAAAATGAATGTCATATCTTCTGATGCTTTCCCTAAAATATAATATTCGAATTGTTTTTCAATACATTTTTTGTTTATATGTGAATAAAAACAGATCCTAGAACTATCACTAAATTTGTAATGGTCATTTAAACATTAGACTGACTGGACTAAGTTATGATTCTTCATTTTCTCTAGTCTATACAGAAAGAAATCTATAAGAATAACAGGAAATGGGAAGGAAGTCTCAATATATCTAATCTTTGTTTTCTGTAGCTGTCTTTACCATACCACAGATAATGAATAAAACTGGGTAATATGCAGTTTATTCATAAAGTTGAAATGCAAACTGTAAGCAAACCCTGTAACAGAATGGTGGTGAAGAGCACGAAACATCTCTTTTGGTAACTGTATTGCTTTATTAAATTGTTTCAAATCATTTGAATTCTTCATGAAGCTCCTGGTCT